TTGATTTGTTTTGTTAGGCAAGTTTAAGGAAACTCTGTAAAGACGTTGTTTGTTTGTTATGTTGGGGTTGTTTCACCTCTTTTTGAGTTAATAAATCTCAAAAGCTGATTTCCTGTGTTGTTTACCATTTCTTGGGAGTGGGAAGAGTTGGGAGAGGGCAATTTTATGCTGCGCCTAGGTTCCCCTAGATCTGGGAGTAACAATAGATGTGCCCGACATATATTGCCCTTAAAAATTACACTCAACATCAATTCGTTTTTTTATTGGTTTTTAGTTGTTTTGTTTTTAACACAAGTTTGGGTTGTTGACCAAAGTCAACAAAGTAAACAAAGTCATCTGTACTGATGCTCCATGGCCATAGAGCAGGGGTGTCAAACTCAAATACACAGTGGGCCAAAATTAAAAAAATCGGTACTAGTCGAGGGCCGGACTGGTTCAATGTTTATTCCAAAACTTATTGAAATGAACTTATTCCACATATTAAACCTGGAACTAACAAAGCTTAAATTATTGCCTATAAAAACAACATTAAACATTAAATAATCAGTTGCATTCATTTCTTATAGATAGATAGATAGATAGATCGTACTTTATTGATCCCAAATTGGGAAATTGTTTTTGTTACAGCAGCATAAAAGGCATTTTACAATAAAACAAAACTACAAAATATACAAGAATAGAAATAAAATAAAATATAAAATATACATGTCGAAATAGAAAATATACATGCAGATATTATATATAAATATATACAAATATATATATATATTCAAAATATATGAAATATGGAGTATTAAATATGAAACAGATGATGTATGAGTAAAATGTACAACGTGGTTTTATTCCAAGAGAAACTATGGAGCAGAGAGTTCTCTTCCAGCCAGAGGTGATTTATTGTACAGTGTTATTGCAGTGGGCAGGAATGTTTTCCAGTATCTGTCCTTGTGACAGGGGAGCTGCAGCAGTCTGTTGGAGAAGGAGCTCCGTTGACTGTCCAGCTGCAGGTGGAGAGGATGGGTGGGGTTATCCATGATGGACAACAGCCTGTTCAGTGTCCTCCTCTCCACCACAGCTTCAAAGGGGTCCAGCTTGATGCAGATGACTGACCCAGCTTTCCTGATCAGTTTATTGATCCTGCAGGTGTCACCGGCTCTGATGCTGCCCCCCCAGCAGACCGCAGCAAAGAAGAGTGCACTAGCCACAACAGACTGATAGAAGATCTCCAGCATCTTACTGCACACGTTGAAGGATCTCAGCTTCCTCAGAAAATAGAGTCGGCTCATCCCCTTCTTGTACACAGCGTCAGTGTTGATCCTCCAGTTCAGCCCATTGTCTAAGTGCACTCCCAGGTACTTGTAGACCTCCACAACTGCCACATCCTCTCCTAGAATGCACAGGGGCAGAGGAGGAGATGTCCTCTTCCTCCTGAAATCAATGACCATCTCTCTGGTCTTGGCCACATTCAGAAGCAGATGATTTCTTCCAGTCCACTCAACAAAATCACCCACCAGCGCTCTGTACTCCTCCTCCCGTCCATCCCTTATACACCCTACCACTGCAGAGTCATCCGAAAACTTCTGCAGATGGCATGACTCTGAGTTGTATAGAAAGTCAGAGGTGTATAAGGTGAACAGGAAAGGAGACAGCACAGTCCCCTGTGGGGCTCCAATACTACCAACCACCACATCAGACAGCACACTGCCCAGCCGGACGTATTGTGGTCTGTCCGTGAGGTAGTTGGTAATCCAGGAGATGGTGGACGAGTTTACCCTCATAGCCTGCAGCTTGTCACTCAATAGCCGTGGCTGGATCGTGTTGAATGCACTGGAGAAATCAAAAAAGGTGATTCTCACAGTGCAACCCGATCCATTCAGGTATGAGTGAGCACGCTGCAGCAGGTAAATAATGGCATCGTCCACCCCCAGGTGAGGCTGGTAGGCAAATTGCAGAGGGTCAAGGAATGATCTCACCTGCGGTCTGAGATGGGCCAAGACCAGTGGCTCTATCTGCAACCAAAACACATCATCTAAGCAACTCTCTATTGACAGGGAACTTTCTTGTACTCTCCATATAGTTGGAGAATTATTTAAACTTTATTAAAGGTACAGTAAAGGGCATTTGTCGTCAGTAAGTCTGTCATTTTCAGAGTTTAATGGTAAGAGTAACATTTACTTTTAAGTGACAAAAGAACTGCAGTATCAATATTGACATATAATGTTTTGCTTCATATATATATACCTATATGAAGCAAAGCAGTAGTAAACAGTCAGATACAGGGTAGGCTAACATTTGGAAATCCCCCCACCTATTTTGGTCTTGTGTGAGGTGGAGCTATTCTCAAATTGGTCTATCGCTTTTGTATAAAGCCTCATAAGTTTCAGATTTGTATTCACTGTCGTTGCATTTGTTGACCAATTTTGCCTTCACAGATCCACCATTTCTTTCAGTAAAAACATCAAAGGCGATACGCTATCTTTACCTTAATTGGGATTGAGAAGAATGAGGTGATATGCTTTACAAAGACCAGGATGGCCCTTGGTTAACTCAAGATTAAAAGATTATTAAAGTCTACAGCATAAAATACATCAGTGAATACACGTCTTGTGAACTTTTAAGAAGTTACGTATCTTAAAAAAGGTAGTCGCTAACAAAGCGCTAACTGAGACTCATTAAATGGCAGCATGCTGAAGTCTGCCTTTAGCAGTTAGATGAGCTTGGTGTATTTTGTTTAAAGATGTAAATAGTGGTTTTCTAGTCTTTCTATACATGTTGACTGCTGGGCAGGAAAACCACCAACCTCTGGACAGAGGACGACCACTCTACCTCCTGAGCCACAGCCGCCTCTTTTATAGCCCTAATGTTAGCGCTTAACTGCTGATAATTATATGTATACTTAACCTCTTAAGCCCTGAGCCTGTTTTTCAGGTCTCAGGCTCGAAAATGACATTCCCAGAACAAATGACCATATCTTCCCTTCTAAAAGGGTTAAATTAATAATCTTTTTTCTCAAAGTAATGATAAACCTGTTAGTTGGATGTAGAAAAGTCAGAATCAATATAGATGTTTTTTATTTTAAAGAAAATTCAGATTTTACATAGTAAAAAACTGTAAATGATAGTGTCCGTCCAACAATTCTTTTTTACTTATAGTGAAAACTACCCTTGGATGATGGTGAGGTAGACTAAAAGCTTTAGGAATCCAAAGTACAACATATAAGTACCCTGTATCAAGATTGATGCAAAACAAGTGACATTTGACCTTTTTAGAGAGATTTAGCAAAAAGAAACCACTTCTGGGGTCATTTGGGTGGATTTTCCATATCTCTGGCTTCCCTTGCTCGATTTTGATGGTTGACACCTCTTTCTGACCGTTAGAGCCAATAGAATCGAAGGGGGAGTCCCCCACACACACTCATTGTGAAAAGAAAAGGTGGGGGCTTCGCGCATACAGTTTTGCATCAGAGCGAACCTATCTCTAGCTCTGACATCTGGAAACGGAAAAGCAGTTTTATTGCTTATGGATTATCAGAAATCATTTCAAAGGGACACAGACACATTGGATTAACCTATGGATTAACTTCAGCAGCGTTTTTATCGTTTTAATGCCATTGAAGACCACTTTGGAGAGACTACAGAGCCAAGGTAAAAATGTTAGCATTTTAGCTACCTAACGTCACCTGTTTTGATGCCTGTTTTTGTTTATAACGTCGCAAATTCGTATAATTCAGTGATAATGTGGGTACCCATAGATTCTGTGTCACCTCACGATGTGAATCGATGTCATGGAAGAAGAGATAAATAATAAGGTTTTGTGAGTGATTTTCGGTGCAGTAATCTGTTAGCATTTTTCGCTCGTTGCTAATTCAGAGGCTCAGTGTTAGCATTGTGGGTTTTCTTTTGAAAAAAAAAAAAAAAGATCAGTTAGATGAGTTTCTTCCCGTTACATGGATATAAAACATTCATAGTTTTATTAAATGAACATGCCCTCAGACACTGTTTCCTGCAAGATGTTGCGGCAGTGCCCCGGTACCGGGGTCTCTCGGGCTTAACAGGTTAAACATTTTTAAAGTTGTGATCCTTTGTGAAGATTTTCTTGCTGAACAAAATGTTCAGTTGCATACTTTTTTTTGCCAGAGACCTTTTTTTCTGCCATAGTTCAGGCAACTATTTCTATCTTCCAGCGTACAACGACACATATCTGAATCATTCAATTGCTGGGCAACTTTTGTGTACTCACCAGTACCTTAGTGGGAGCAGTATCTCTACTTACTCCTTGACAGGTAATAGAAATGTGTCATCAACAACAAATCTGCCATTTTGGAGGCTAAGGGTTGAGTGACATCCACTGGCTGTTTAATTAAAGTGACCAAAGAAACTGCTGAGTAACACAAAATTCTTCACAATTGATTTTTTATGTAGTACACCTATATGTAGGCTTATGTTACTGTACGTTTTTCATTGTTCAAGACACAGGTAGATTAATTATGCATGCTTAGAAAACGTAAAATGTTAACATTCAGTTACCTTAACATAAGCAAAAAGCCCCTGTAATTTGTAAGGATCAATGTCTTACCTAAGTTACATTTCCATATATTGCCCCAAATTCCATTTCCTATTACAATAGTGAGATGTACAGTTTGTTGCTAAACATGCTAGCAATAATAGTAGCAAGCTGCCTCTTGCTAAAACAACACTCAAGAGACACTTTGAATTACCTTGTCTATTTTACTTTTTACTATTTGTACTGTTGTGTACACACATATATCCTACATTAATTATTTAGTTGTTCTTACTCTGAGAACATCATGTTCTTTAACTGGATATACTTTGTCTCTGGCAGCACAATGTAACCCTGTTAACAGCTAACCTGGTTTGTAAAATGTGCTAAAATGACTTTGGTATGTTGAGAAGAATGAGATGATATGCTTCACAACAAGTGAGACAGGAAGTGCACTTTTGAATCTTGATTCTATGAGAGCCAATCAGATGCATGGTACACTCTGACACACACAATCATGATCATGTGACTTCAACATTTGTACTCACTGAAATACCCAAAAGTTTCCCAACAAGAAACAATATCAAGATGTTGCTGTTATGGGTAACACTGCTTTTTCTTCATCAAGGATGTAAGAGCAAGTATTCAGTAAAAATGTGCATGCCTACTTGGGGTTTTGGGGTTAACTTTTGTGTTCTTGCATGATGTATGTACTGTTTCACGTGTTGTATTCTGTCATTTATTTCAGATACGCTGGTTCCAGTGACTACAGTTCCTCTTGGTGAATCTGTGACCTTCACGTGTGCTCTGCCTACTATTGAAATTGGCAGTAAAGAGCTCTACTGGTTCAAGCAAAATGCTGGAGAGACTCTGACATTAATTGTGAAACTGCTCCAATCTACAAAACCTGAGTCTGCAACACATTTTTCTCACTCAAGATTGGAGCTAAAACGCGATAACAATTTAATCACCCTGACGATTCGGAGTACAATCCCAGAAGATGAAGGAATGTATCACTGCTCAATCACAGAGCGTTATGGACATCCTGAATGGAGTGGGACATATTTGTTACTGAAAGGTAAATGTGATCTACTTCATTAGAATGAGTTTTGTAAATGCTTCAGGTCGGATCCAAAGCTGCACTTTGGTAATGTTTAAGTAAAGTATCATTTCAATTATCTGTTGCATTTTTAACACAAATTAAAATACAAATTCAGTTAGACATACAATTAAGATTAAATTATTCTATTTATTTTCAGATATTTGTATTTACTTTGGATGTTGATTTCTTTACCAGCTATGTTGTATATATTTGAGAAAGTTACAGTGTTAACCACTCAACCCTAAAAGTGTTGCCAATTCTGACATGCACCATATCTTTAAATATATGGTTAAAACTTGGTAATTACATTCTATGCTCTGCTTTATCTTTATTAAAGCTCTAATCGATATTTAAACAATCTAATTTCACTTTGAGGAAATCTCTAATAATAAAGCATCTCCACATTTGCTAAATATCAGCAGATTCATGTTAATACTTTTACAAATGTCAGATGAAATGGGACACATTTTTTTAAACAGTTTTGTATTTTTCAGGAAACACTCGGAGGACTTCAAACTATTCTGTTCAGTGGCCGACATTATCTGATCCAGCTCCTCCAGGAAACTCGATGACCCTTCAGTGTTCGGTCCTCTCTAAATCTGAGAATAAAACATGTCCAAGAGACCTCAATGTGTTCTGGTTCAGAGCCGGTTCAGATAAATCTCGTCCTAGCATCATCTACACTGATGGAAGAAGACAAGATGAATGTGAGAAGTTACCGGACACTCAGAAGAGTTGCTTCTCAAAGAACTTCAGCTCCTCTGATGCCGGGACTTACTACTGTGCTGTGGCCTCATGTGGAGAGATATTATTTGGAGATGTAACAAAACTGAAAATTGGTATGTTATACCGATGTATTTTGTTTAATATGGACGTTAATGTCTACGAACCAATGAACCACATCATTAATGTGTCAAATGTCTTTTTGCTTTCTAGGGGCGAAATGCAAGCTCTGAAGTTATAGCGCTGGCGATAGCAATACTCTGCTTGGTCGTTTCTATCATTGGAAACATTACTTTATTCTGCCGCCGGATTTCAAGAGCAGGTTGTTCACGATGTAAAGGTACGTTTTGTTGATTTAGTCAAAAAGTTTAATACGCCGATTATTTTACTTTAAATAGTTTTAGAAGCATGACATCATGAGAGACACGATAAACCTTAACCTCGTGTTCTTGGATACTATTATACTTAACTAATCTGCTTTTTTATACATGGAAATCTGTTATTCTTAATGTTATTATATGAATTTATCAGCAAACATCTGCAGCACAATTCTCCATATTGGTTGCTCCATTTATGTTAAAGGTAGGGTAGGTAAGTTTGAGAAACCGGCTCGAGATACACTTTTTGTTATATTCCATGGAATGCTCTTAACATCCCGATAGCAATGAATATCTTAAGTGCTTTGACAACAAATCCATAAAAAAAATGTCATCTGTGGAAGCCGTAGTACTGTAAAAAGCACGACCAATCATTTTAGCCGGCCCGGCTAAAATAACTGGATGGCCTACCTGCCTGTCAGCCTTCCATCTGTGCACAAACTTATCTCGTGCCCTCATTGGTCATGTGCGCGTCCGTGTGTGTTGGAGGAGGGGCTCTATAAGGAAGTGGCAGATTTTCTCCGGTTGTGTATTTTCAAATTCTAGCGATCTCGAGCCGGTTTCTCAAACTTACCTACCCTACCCTAAGTATGCTTAACCCCCATAATGCAATGTAGATAATATGACGTTATGCCATTTGCCGGGGATCTGTATTGAAAACTCAGTTTAAATTCATAATATTAATGTTTTCTTTTCATATTTAGGAAATGAAAACGTTGCTTTGCATTCGAGACATGACAACTCAAGCCAACCTGTGCATGATATTGTAAGTAATCATACAACATTCTTTCTTTTTTGGTTATTTTGATTAACATAATTCTCATCATCCAGTTAATTACATGGCTTCTTACTAAAGAGGTAAATCCTTTGACAATTAATATTGGTTTAACATCATTTAAAAAAGCTAGTCAGCTTGCTGTGTTTGGATATCAGAGGCCTGTACTACGAAGCTGGATTTTCACTTAGCCGGCTAACTTCAGGGAAATCTCGGGCTTTCCGGTCCTACGACGCTGGTTCTCTTTTTAGCAGGCTAGATTTCCATGGTAACTTATGCTGAGCGGCAAACCTGCTCCGGAGCGGGTTAGGTGGCAGGCTAAGAGATCAACTCAGTGAAAGCACCGCCTGCTGACCAATCAGAGCTCCGTGTGCGGAGTTTAAAGCGATCAATTCATATTACAGGATAGAGGAAATACAGAAAAACTGCCGTTGCAGGAAAGACGGCCAGCCAAAATCAACTGACTGTGTGAACGTGAAAATTAATAGAATATCCCCTCCCATCTTCAGAGCAATCTGACTATTATAATATTAGCGTTAAGAAAGCTTACTTAAATATCTGCCACGATATAAGTAACCGGACATTAAGTACAGTCCGCGGCACTGTGAGTGCAGACCGCGATGTGTCCCATTATCATTCATATCACATGATATCACATCATAATGTATCATATATTTCCTTATTTGAGTCAGCTTCTTGAGCCGTATCTGGCCGTGCAACACTCACAGTGTCACATACTGTATGCAGAAGTATTATTTTAAGCAACACATTAAGTTGACGAAACACTCGAGTCAAATTCTCCTAATTAAAGTCAGATCCACTCGTGTCTTGGACGGGGCAGTGATTTCATATACCTGTTAATGTACGCATTCAAACACTTTTTCTGTTACCAGCTGTATTCACCTTGCAGGTGCAGCTATGTGGCTTTTATCCTGGATAAAGTGTTTAAGTCATGGATGTTTAAAGTTTAACTTCTTCATATTTGACTAATATTAAAGTTCACTTTTCATTCAGGAAGTATGACGCTGCGCTGTCAGTTCCCTTGTCCGTGTTTGAGATTGGGCGAATGCTCCAAATACCACCCCTTTCATGTGAACGCGCACCTAACTAGATAGGACACGGCTGGCTTCAGCGATCCACTTGATAACCAGCGTCGTAGTACAGTTTAGCCAGAGCGCGTATGTTTTGGATTGGGCCAACCGGCTAACTCAAACATATCCAGGTTAGGTTGAACCAGCTTCGTAGTACAGGCCTCAGGACTGTGTCTATGGCAACAGATTGTTACTCTTAGCAGCAGTCCGTCACAAATAAATAATAGACCATTATAATTCTGTAATCAAACAATCATTATCAACAAAGCTGTCTCTTAATAATGGAGATTGTATTTGCTGCACAGACTGAAGGTGGACATAATCTGAACTATGCTGCGGTGCATTTCTCTGGAAGGAAGGCTACAAGAGGAGGAAAGAAGAGAGAGATGGAGACTGAAGAAAGTGTGTACTCTCAAGTTAAATGCTGAATGTGAATGTGAGTCTATTAAAAATGTAAATTGGTTGATCATACTGACCTCTGACAAAGATTTACACTAAATTAGGATTAATGCTAAAAACCAAAATAGCAGCAAACAGATATTCTCTTTATCTTCGATGTTTCACCAATATTTGATTACATGTGTTTGTATGTGTCATCTTTTATCTTAAAATACTAACCAAAGTGTGTTTTCATTAAAGAAAATGTAAAAAATCAGGGGGGGAATGATTTTGTTATGATTTATTTAGGGCCATCAGACATAACTGTTTCAAGATGTTCTCCTCTGCCCTTTTGTATACATTATGAATGTTCAAATCTGTTTACTTCTTCCATGACCGTCATCTACTTACTGTCTCGGCCAATGCTCTGTAAAAACATCTAACCGCAATTGGGAGTTGTGTTGATTTCTTGCTTCCTTTTTTAAATGATTTTTTTATAATACTTAGCTGAAGAAACCTAATCAGTCTTTGTCTTTCTTTTGGCATATTTAACCCATTTCGACATGTCGACATTTCATAACTGTTTTACCTTATACCAAGGGACTTGTTAATGATGTGGTTTTTGGAGTTTCAAAACTACATTGATCAGAATTTAATAGCAGAGAATACTTAAAGGGGACCTATCATGCAAAATGCACTTTTGTACGTCTTTTATACATGAATATGTGTCCCCGGTGTTACAGGGAACTCACCAAGTGTCAAAAAACACAACCCTCTCTATTTTCCTCCATACCCAAATCTCTAAAAAAGGGGCTGCAACGGATCTGATAAAAACTGTCCTGACGTCAGGACAGTGGCGCTACGGCTATTGGGCCAACTCCACCAATCAGGAGGAGACAGCCACGGCCATTGCCGTTCGAAAGCGCTGGAGACGCTGTAGTACATATGCCAGGCCAGTAGATGGTGCTGTTCTCACTGAATCTGCCCTTGCAGAGCAGAGCTAAAAAAAAGTGCAAATTGAGCTAAATGAGGCATGGCTAAAATGCATGATCTGTTTGGTATTTTGAAAAGAAAAAAGTATAAATATGCCTTATATAGGTATGGTCCTACACTATATTATTCAAATATAGCATGATAGGTCCACTTTAAGTGCTATGTCTTTATTTGCGTACTTCTGTAATTAAATGTGCTATTTTGAGTGCTTGAGTGTGTCCAAATGCCAAAAATGGCAAGATGCAGTATAAAGTACAAAAATGGTGCACTCATAAAGGTCATGAAGTTAAATGTAGAACACTGGACATTCCCCCTCACTGATCACCATCTTGGCTGCCATTGCTCTGGTGAACACAGCACTACTCATACTGTATAAGTTATGCATGATTTTTACCCCAACTATTAAATAAACCTTCCACTTTAATGGTGTTGTAAAGAAGTCACAGTTCATTTTAATCCGCCTGTCGTGTTCGGGTCAAATCTGACCGATTTACTACTTTTATCTTTCATAAATATTGTGTTTTAGATTTGATTGCTTCAAAGCCTAATGATATACTCCACAGTGGACATTAGAACATATACATTTGCTGATCACCACTTTCATTGAGTTTTTAGTGTTTTAGTCAACTTTGCTACACCTATGATGTTCCCGGTAAAAAATAACCGCCATAGCAAATGATTGGGTAAACCTAGATTATGTTCATCCATCAGATAGTACGCACCCACAAATCGACAACCATGTTCATTTTGGAAAACATTTTCAGTGTCTATATTTGTTTATATTCATTGCACTTATTCATGTAATCCAGCAGTCTGATATATTGTGTACAGCTCAAAAGGTTGTTTAATCAGATGTGGTGATGACTATTTGTTTTTGTGTTAATCAGAATCAGAATCAGAAACAGGTTTATTACCAGGTAGGTTTACACGTACGAGGAATTTGACTTGGTGTCGTGGTGCATAAAAAAAAAAATTAAAAACACAGGTGGAGAACTAGAAAAATATAAAAAATAATAAAAAATATAGTAAAATATAACAGTATTTACATTGCAATGGTAGTAGAGTTAAAACAGACCGATCAAATTTAATCAGGAACACCGAAGTAAGGGGGGAGAAACAAACACTAGAGGGGGGTTAATAATTATTGGGTTATTTGAGCAGTGGAATGATTTGCAACCACACAGGAAAATGTTGCGAGCTAAGTGTCTCGACTAAAGACATGTTGACACTTTGACATGTTGACTGAGCCACCCTATTTATGGCCTCATGTTAGCGTCTAACTTCTGCTGTTTACCACAAATATGTTTTTTCTGCTATAATCCAAAATCCCATTTGGTTTTGGTCAAGGGAACTACTACAATGCTAACTTCAAGGTTTGGCCGTCAAAGACACATCATCCATGTATCACTCTATTGACAGGCAACCTTTTTGCTATGTCCAGCAGTGGCTCAGTCAGTAGGACTGGGAGCCGTAGGGTCGCCGATTCAAGTCCCCGACCAGACCTAAATATGGAGTGTGGACTGTTACTTGGAGAGGTCCCAGTTCACCTCCTGCCCTGCCGTGGTGCCCTTGAGCAAGGCACCGGACATCCCCCTTCCCCCCTCACTCCCATTGCTCCCCGGGCGCTGTACAATAGCTGCCCACTGCTCCTAGTACTAGACTCCTGGTACTAGGATGGGTTAAAAGCAGAGAACACATTTCACTGTGTGTGCTGTGTGCTCTGCATGTGTGACCATTAAAGAGGGTTTCATCCCTCCGGTTCTATTCTATTCTATTCTATTTTGTAGCCTACTCTCCAAATACCTCAGTTCAAGCATTATCATCCAAGTACGCCTTTACAGGTAATGGGAATACGTGTAAGAGTGACATTCGCTGGCTGTTTACTGGAAGCGTTAACAATAATTGCTGAATTATCAGAAAAAAACTGTGAATAGTGAATACACCGTTTAAAATGTACTGTAAGTAGGCCTATCTCGAGTTAACATTGGGACACAAGAAAGGTCAATATTTAGTGTTCATTTTTCAATAACGAGTAGTTTTGCATGGTGAGCTAATGATTTATTAGCATTTAGTTAGTATAATGTTAGCTAGATAATGTTAGGGAACCTTTTTCCTCTCAAGGGCCATTTAAATTTTATCAACATCCTCCGAGGGCCGTACAAATGATTGACCTCTGCTTAAAAATACTACTGCACGGTTGTGGCATGACCACCAAAACAGAAAGGTATTGGACACAAGATGTGTGCAAATGTATTTAGTTTCCTATCCATGTGGACATGGTTTAAGGTGGGGGGGGACCTAACCTCCTCTAGGGGGGTCCAGGGGCATGCTCTCCCAGGAAGATTTTTTTTTAAATGTTGAAGTTAAAAGCATCAATCTGGTGCACTTTGAGAGCAACATTAGGAGATCTATGGATACATCTCTCAACATCCATATGAAACAGAACTGTAAGCAGATTTCTTTTTCTTTATGGATATTTTACAAATCACTCTCCTTTCAAACTGTATTCTTCTTTATTCAACAACTTTGTTCTACTGTCATATAGTATTTTATACCTGTTTACTTTATTCTCTTATTTTTTTATAACTATAATGATCATATAAAGATGTGCCTTTACCTCACTGGTTGTAGAAAAAGCTTCTTATATTCGTTAGCATAGCTAGCTAACCAGATGCTAATAACAACAAAGTTATTGACTGTATGATCAGTATGACAGATGAACAGATCGCCACTGGGCTTTCAACTAAAGACACAGCCACGCAAAAACTGCAGCATGTGTACGGCTCCTTATGGGTACTGCAATTTGTGAAGTGCCAGAGAGTGACGTTCTGGTGCTCTCCGTCAGAACTGCACCCCTGTCAGACGAGACATATACCACGTGATGACACGTTAGGCTCGTGTTGTGTTCAAGGACCCTGACCTTGGCCAGGAAAAACAGGCACCCGCTTGTTTAATTTTTTTGCGGTCTAGATTTCTTTAATTTTTTTCTTTCTTGCGTGTGTTTATAAATTACCTCGAGGGCCGTACCAAATGGTCTCGCGGGCCGTATACGACCCGGGGGCCGGAGGTTCACTACCCGACTTAAACGTTTGCAATATATCGCCCTTTGCCGCCCCAGCTTCTCTTTACACAGGGTTGCTAACTCTCACGCATCTGGCGTGTGACACACGCTTTCACTCTCAATCTCTCACGCTGCCCAAACTATTCTCACGCCAAAAACAAGATGAACCGGCGATCGTTTTTGGTTGGTTATTTACAATGTTGAGTTGACAGCTGCTCAAGCTGTCGATCCGCTCCCTCCCCGCCCCCACCACTCTTAACAACGTTAACAGACAGCAGAGCAGTGGGAGCCGGGACCCGTATTGCGCATGCGCAGATCTAAGATCCAGTAGAAATGATAAAAAGTCAAAGTCTGCTGCTTATTGTTCTACTAGGCCAAAATAGAGTCAAAGAGTATATGAGAGTGAGAGTGCGTTAATTAATATATTTGGCAGTTTGGAGTAAGTCTGTAGATTTGTTTGTGTCTGTGTGTTTCATGTATCGGCCTCACGATAATTAATTTTGTTGGATACATTTTCCCGGAAATTATTGTTATATTAAACGATAATATTGTCGGCCCCGTTGTATGACCATTTTAGACCACTGACATAATGATAATATATAATAATAATTCAAGTACATACTTTCAAACTGCTAGTCACATCTTCATGTAAATGACAATTTATCGAGGTCAGAAAAGTTATGGACTTCATTTTTATTTATCGCACGATAAGTCAATGAATTGCTTATCGCGACAGGCCTATGCACACAATAAAACAGTGGAAACAAACATGTGTTTGACTTTCATTAGTGAATGAAACTGTGTGCCCTTCATAGTCTGTGTCCAATATTGTGTATTTGTATATATTGTATACTGTATATATCCTATATATATGCTAAGGTCCCGCTACTGACACAATAGCAGTCATTTAGTGCGCATATGTGTAATTAAACCCATGATATCAAAATCTCACTCCAGCCAGGTACCCAAAGTTGGCAACCCTGCTTTACATTTGCATGTATTTATTACTCCACAACCCTTTTACATTTATGATGAGGAATGACAGATGACGGATGAAAAGAGCTGCTATAGCCACGTATGGTTCTCTTGGAAAAAAGGCTGCTCCGCCCCAGGATGCTCCAGATTCCCATCTTGACTAAGCTAGCCATTATTGCAACTAGATGTCTTGTGCTTAAACAGCATTTCAAGTAAACTTTTCTTACTTGAGTGCGTCATTATGAGATTAGTTTTTAATGACTCTTATAACATATTTTACTGGTGATACTTGTGTCTGGTGTCTTCACTGGAAGCACAGTGTAGCTAATTTGACAGCTGGTCTAGGCTTTTGTGAATCCAGTTTCCTTATAACTAAGACTGGTAACTAAGCCTCGTAATGTACTAATTCATACTCACTGTCATTGATTTTGTCGTCCAAAGCTGTCTTAACAGTTTCACTTTTTTTATTAAAGGGGACCTATCATGTAAAATGCACTTTGTGATGTCTTTTATACATACATATGTGCCCCCGGTGCGTCGGGGAACTCACGCAGCGTCAGAACATAAAACCCTCTCTCTTTTCCTCCGTACCCAAATCTTTTAAAAACGGGTGTACAACGAGCGGATACAGATTCAATCCGAACTGACGTCAAATCGGCAGCGGACCCACAGAAAGTTGCTATCAGAAACAATGCCTGACGTGTTTTGGACGTAATCTCGTATTTGTTTACATTAGCAAGCCTCGCTAACACTCAGAGCTAACCTGTACTGTAGAGCAGGGGTTCCCAACCCCCGGTCCGCGGACCGGTACCGGGCCCCGGAGGTGTTACTGCCGGGCTGCGAAATAGCTGTGAGTTTATCGTAATATTTGCAGAATTATAAATATATAAAAATATTTTTCGCACCTATGCCACCAGTCATATTATTTCATCCAGTAGCTAGTTAATCTTTCACCAGAAAACCGTTGAAAATGGCTTTTATGATGTTCAGAGGGATTCGGCGGCTCAGCCTATGGTCTCAGCCTCTTGTGCGCACAAGCATGTTACCGGTGCGCCAAGTAGAAAGAGGAGCGCACAGGAGACAACCGTTTGATTACAGACTGTTATGTTTATGTGGGGAAATGGTGGTGCATACATTATTTGAGATATATTTCAAACTCGGACTTCATTTTAAGGACATGTCGGCCAGGGGTGTAGAGCTATTTGTTTAAGCACCGTATTGGCAAAACAGGAGAGTAAACCAGTCTGCCTTGATCTAATTAATGTCCGGGACTCTCACGGTATCTGCTGCCCGCAGCTGTTTTATAGAAGGAAACCCTCCTTCACTTCATGAAATGGCTGCAGCATCAGGAGGCAGCGGGACGTATACTCGGTAAAGAGCTGTGCCTTTTTACGCACCGCCTTCGCTGTGTTTAACTTAATCAGAACAGTTAAAGAGTGACTGCAGGCTGCTACGTGTTAACCACACACACATCTACACACATCGAACTGCCCGATTACTCCCCCTTTTATTAGTTTTATGAAGGAGATGTCCAGTCAGTCACCAAGGCGCATGATGTGTGTGTGCAGTGGCGGCCGGTCCATAGGGGCGCTAGGGGCGCCGCCCCACCTCTTCCCATATTGAAAAAAAAAAAAAATAATAATAATTAAAATTAAAATTAAAAAAAAAAAATATGTTTAAAAAAAAATATATGTTTTTATTTTTATTTTTAATGAACAAGGTAAATATTATATAATTGGTATCAGTAAAATGTATAATCTACAATAAAATCTCGTTTAAAATTGTGTTACGATGTCTAAAGTTACTGATAAGTCACATGTTTCCTGCCTGGCCTTGCCCATGCACCTTCTCTCGTCTGGGCGCTAAGAGAGGAGCCTTCAACCAGTGCAGCATCAGCCACTAGCAGCTGACTGTTGCTATCTGTAACGTGTAAACTATGCCGCGAAAATATAATTTCAGCCAATCAGCGTCGTCAAAGATGACGGTCACCAGGCGCCAATGTCAGCGCCCAGTGCAGTCTGTGAGTAGTTTGGACAGTGACTCGTATCCGGTTGACGCAGTAGTTGATGAGGATGGCTTCGTGTGCAGGTGGAGTCTCCGGACCTCGGTCCCCGGCTAATTCTGTTCAAGAGCTAATCTCCAATCCTTTCGAAAGGAGAAGTTTGGCAGATAAATTGTTGCTTAAAGACCTTGCACCGGACCAACCCGATTTGAATATATCGCAGCAATCTCGTGAAAAAGACAACATTTATACACGAGGCTTCACAAGTAGCTGGTACACAAGAAAGGCTTGGCTAGCTGGATGCAAACAGGTAAATGCTGTCTTTTGTTTCCCATGCTTGGATATCACTTTATATGTAGAGAGGAGGTTTCCCATGGTTGTTAGAAGTTTATTAATAAGTGGGCATTTATCACAGAAGGGATTGTTCTGTCTCCACGTTTGTTGCATTGTCTGTGATGTATTTTCCAACGGTTATAGCTCCTGTTCTGTCCCAGCAACACTACACGGTTTGCAGCTCCACCACATTTTTGGTTTATCTTCGGTGTCGCTTAAAATCTGCTTCCCATCGGACTAAAACCTCCACGTAATCTGAAGACAGATACTTGAAGTTATTTAAACCTTTTGCAAACTTTATGTTCTTTCTTGCTCTAGCCTTGCCAGTTACATTGTACATAACACATATATTATCATTATGCTAACTGGTTGTTCGTGTTAGACGATGTAGCTTTTTCATTTCTGAGTTATTGCTATATGTAAATAAGCCTGTTTGTAAATAATCCTCAGAGAAACAAAGAAAAAACACAATTTATGACATTTTGTGCTGTGGTTATTTTTTTTAAATTGCATTTATTCACAGTTCAGTTTGAAATGCTGTAGTGACTTGTATTGAACCACTTAAATATTTATAATTAATGCTACTGAAAAGATGCTATTAATTTTATATCTCACATGCAGTTCACTGTAAAGCTACTTGGTGAAGGTGTTGGTTCATAAAACATGAACAGTTTTAAGAAAGAAAAAAACAGACCAGTTCTGAGAACACAAATTCCTGGTAAAGTAGTAGATGTTGAGGTTGATAAATAATATTTTCCACACTGAAAATTATGGAGGTATTGATCAGTCTTCTCATATTTTTAAGCCTCGATTTCTCCTTTCCCCCCCCCTCTAACATCACCAGAAGTCATCATTTAAGGGGTCATTTCTCGAAAACAATTTCCGGGGGGAAACCCCCCGGACCCCCCGGGTAGGTCACTTACGGTACGTCAAGAGCCCCACCAAAAAAAAAGACCACCGGCCGCCACTGTGTGTGTGTATGTGCTCTGCTCAGCTCTGTGTGTTCGGTGTGTTTGTGTCTGTCCGACACCGGCATATATGCGGCTGTTCCCAAAATAAATAAATAGTTTCATCTTAATCTCGATGTAGTGCTAAATGCTGTCGGAGTGCACCGGAACGAACGACACTATCATAATATCTTCTGAAAACAAATGCCAGTGTCACACACACACACACACACACACACACACACACACACACACACACACACACACCCGTTTTGGTTTAAAAACAGAATAACGTCGGTTTTTTGGTTTTCCGAAAAACCAAAAAACAACACCGGTTCTTTTTTAAACTTTGTTAATATGTTTTGGATGCATATTGTTCTAGTATTTGTTCAGGCTGTTACATACAATTAGCCTCTGTTGCTACCTGCTGGTGGTGAGTAAATATTAAAATCAGTTAGAATTGACAACCGGTCCGCGATTTTTTTTTTAATGTATCTACCGGTCCTTGGCACAATAAAGGTTGGGAACCCCTGCTGTAGAGCACATGTGTTTAAAAAGCAGGAAATAAAAAAAGAACTCACCTTGTGATAAACCTGCAAGAGAAAAAGCATTTGAGCTCCATACTATTTCAGGAATAATCCTTGACGTGGTTTAAACAGGATGGCGTTTTATCATAGCAGAATTTCACTTTATCTCCGGTAGAATTCTAATCAGGCATTAGCTCCGCCTCCTCTTCTTTCTTTTTTTTCAAGCTAAGGACCCAAGATCCGCGTTTCTCTAACAGGGCTTCAAAAGAGGGGTTTGAGCAGTATGAGGCATGGCTACAATGAACTGTTTGGTATTTTGAAAAAAAAACTTCACATACATATATGTTTCAAATATAGCATGATAGGTCCACTTTAAGTAAAAAAAAAAAGAGACCTTTATTGGAAGATTTGCTTAAATAACTTGAGAAGAATGAAGTGATATACTTCAAACAGATCAGAATAGGACCACTGAGACAGGAAGTGCACTTTTTTAAATCTTTATTCTCTGAAAACCAATCAGATGCAGAGTGACACGCATATGGGCGGCCATGAGACCTTTTGTACACATTGAAAACAAAAAACAAGAGACATTGTCAAGATGTTACTGCTATCGGTAACACTGCTTCTTCTTCACCAAGGATGTAGGTGCAAGTATTAAGTTAAATATTTACATTTAGATATATGAAGGTTCCAATACCTTGTTTTTGCATGATGAATACTCATTTTGTTCACTAATAGTTTTTTACTGTTTCACGTATTGTATTCTGTCATTTATTTCAGATACGCTGGCTCCAGTGACTACAGTTCAACTTGGTGAATCTGCAACCTTAACGTGTGCTCTGCCTAATACTGAGTTAAAACGCAATGACCTCCGCTGGTACAAGCAGAGTGCTGGAGAGACTCTGACATTAATTGTGACACTGCTCGAATCCTCCAAACCTAAGTTTGCACCAGGGTTTTCTGACTCAAAATTGGAGGTAAATACTGGAAACAATTTAAGCACCCTGACCATTCGGAGGACAATCCCAGAAGATGAAGGAATGTATCACTGCTTAATCGAGGACTGGATTAGGAATCCGGGATGGAGTGGGACATATTTGTTACTAAAAGGTAAACGTGATCTACTTTTTATTAAGATTTTCAGATGTTTTAGATCTGATCTATCTATTTATCTTCAAAATAGCTTTAAGTATCCGAACCCTGATTTGAACATCTACAAAATGGTTTGAAGAATTTATTTCCAAATATTTGTGATGATTTGGGTTCTTGATTAAAAAAAAATCTAATTTCACCATGTCCTGAATCTTAAAATTACGTTAAAACCTCAAATTAACTACATTTTCCGGTTTTTCTTGTTTTTTTTTATGAAGCACTAATCAATGTTCAACAATGTGTTTTTTCTTTGATAAAAAATGTACCACATTTAAGATAGATGTAAACACCTTTTAGGCTGTCGAATGTGGTTTTTAACACTTTTTTATTTTTCAGGAAACACTCAGAGGACTTTAGACTATTCTGTTCAGTGGCCGACATTATCTGATCCGGCTCCTCAAGAAAACTCGATGACCCTTCAGTGTTCGGTCCTCTCTAAATCTAAAAATAAAACATGTCCAGGAGACATCAGTGTGTTCTGGTTTAGAGCGGGATCAAATAAATCTCATCCTAGCATCATCTACAGTGATGGAAGAAGACAAGAGGAATGTGAGAAGTTGCCGGACACTCAGAAGAGTTGTGTTTATCGCTCCTCAAAGAACTTCAGCTCATCTGATGCCGGGACTTACTACTGTGCTGTGGCCACATGTGGAGAGATATTATTTGGAGATGTTACACATCCGCAATTAGGTATGGTTATACAATGTTGAATATTATAGGTGATATTCGAAACATTTTCGTAACATTATGATTGCCAGAGAAAACTGCAAGTCCTGAAGTTGTTGCACTGGTGATAGCGATCGTCTGCTTGGTCATTTCTGTGATTGGAAACATTGTTTTCTTCTGTTGCCGAACTTCAAAATGTAAAGGTAAGTGTTGTTGAATTCTTTTGAAAATGGTATACACTGATTTTATTACATTGTGCAAGAGGTGTAACATCATAAAGGACAGGATGAACCTCAACCTAATGCTTTTAGATACAATTAAATAACAGCAGGAGTTGGGTCTTAACGGAAATATTTTATTTAAGATATTATATCAAATAAATCTATCAGCAAACACTGGCAGCATGATGTGTCCAATTTTCTGTTAGGTCAAATGTCTGTCTTATTAAGCTACAAAGAAAAAAAGTAATACATTGGGGTTACGATCCTTATATAAAATGAAGCTTAAACTAATTACATTGGTTTTTCTTTTTCATTTTTAGGAATAGAAAACCCCACTGGGCAAGCAAGATATGACAACTCAAGCCTACCAGTGCATGATATGGTAAGTAATGACACAATATTTGTTGTCATCTTTTTTAATAACATGAAATCAAACAGCACCACTAACAGTAAACATGTAAGGGAGGATGTACATCAGGCTGGTCATTAGTGCGATGTGAGCCCTGACAGGGTGAGCAGGAATCTTAAATCCTCTGGTGGATTCATTTTGTCCAGAATGACCGACTAGCTGTACGATGTCCTTCTAATTACATGACTACTTACCAAATCAATTAATCAATCTGTTTATAAATTAAAACGAAACTGTGTAAAAGTAAATGTATAATGAGCTTTTTATTTGCTGCACAGATTGAAGGGGGAAATGATCTGAACTATGCTGCCCTTCATTTCTCTGGAAGGAAGGCTACAAGAGGAAGAAATAGGAGTGATTTGACGACTGAAGAAAGTGTGTACTCTCATGTTAAATGCTAATAGTGAATGGGTGTCTAAAAAAACCTGTAGGTTGGTTGATCATACTGACCTCTGACAATGACTTATAATGTAAATATGTTAGGTTCCCTTTTGTTTAGAGTGAGGTTTTTCCATGCTGAAATCATATCATACAGATGGTTTTTATATTCCTTGTTTGACCATTATTTGATCTGCTCATCCTGCGTTTGAATGTGTCGTCATTTTATCTTAGAAATACTAACCCTAATTGGTTATATTAAACATATTGAAACTAATAATTGAGAAAGAGGTTTTTCTTAAGATTTATTTAGGGCCATTAAGCATAACTTTACAACTTTTTTGTAAAAGGAAATATCACATCTGTACTTAAGTAAAAGAGCTAACACCAAAAAATAATGTTACGCTAATATAATAAATAATTTGATTCTTATAAATCATGTATTAATGCAGTGGTCACCAGTATCTGATCAATCATAAGGACCCATCATAATTGAAAAGTCCTTTTTCACCTTCTGTATTTATTTCAATGGGGGTGGAAATATAATTATTATGTGATATGATAATTATCTGCTTGGTCCTTTTGGGGTTGTTGTAAAAGTTATCTTCATCTGGCACTTTGAGTACAGAAACAATGTGAGAGGAAAACATTGTTTCAAAAACAAAAATGATCATGTTTGGGTTTAACAAGTGATGAACAGTGGCAGAAACATAGTAAATGTTACATTACTAATAGATCTCTATCACTCATATGAATATACCTATCATTTTCCAGGAAGTGTAATTATTTTTGCCATGCTGGTACCAATTTAGTTTTGTCTTTTTATTAGATACTTTACTTTGTGTTTAATATTACCTATCACACGTAAAAACTGGACTCATTGTGTGCTCACTATTCCTGTATTGTAGCCTGTTCTGAATATACTGTCTTTGCATATTAACCCAACATAAAGCCTAAACAGTCTTGTGTTTAGATAAAAACTCAAATGTGTTTCAAAGTTCAAGCCAAACATTAATTAAAACAACAACAATTAAATAGAATTGTACAACAGGTGACTTTATCAAACAAAACATGACTCAATGTCAGTGACGTGCGGTGAGGTTCATGGCTGGTGAGGCACTGACTCTTTCAGAGTCAGATTTACAAATATTATAGCCTATTTTGACCTTAATCGAAATATTCTGTTATTTTCAAAAGCTTTTTTAGTCTGATGCTATGATTAATTTTAAACAGACCGATCAACAAAAGGATACCCAAAATCTAAATATTGGATTGTTCTTTCTAAGTAAGATCCCATTTTCATTACAGTTGTGGTCTTACCTTGACTTGAAGATGAATATAAGTCCATGCTATCCTTCTGGACAACAATCTCTATTACTGTTTTGTAAAAGTCCTCATTATCTTCCTGTAGTTTCAAAAGTCTAGTTTGTTGTTTGCGGTAGAATAACAGTAGCAACAAGAACCTGTGGGCTCACGTGCGCCCCCTTCAGTGCGGCAGAGGTTATGGCTGCCTCTCCTGGTGCTTTTTTTCATTGCCGTTGTACGATGAGACCAGCGAGCCAAAATATCATATATACGTGAAATAAGTTATTTAGAGACTATGGATGGCGAGGATAAATGTAATAAAGGGATCTACAAACATTACATTGGTGACCTACAGTGAGATGGGAACAGGCATGCGCTTAGGGCCCGCTTTCCAGCCAATTTCTGTGGGGTGACGCATTCTGAAGTGAGGCAGAGCTGATCTGTGCCTCACCTCACCCCACAGTAAATGGCTTGAGCGCGCTCACAAAATAAGTGGCCGCGCTAAATGAGTGCCCGCGCTCCAGCAAGTTACTGTGGGCTTACGTGAGGCAGTCCCTGCCTCACTTCTCATCGCTCCCGTAGCGGAGCTCGGCAAATTTGCTGATTTTGACTATAAAATGCGATTGGAATCATACAGAAATCACATTTACACAAGATCAGTGGAGACATTTTATTATTATTATTATTTAGTTTTTCTTTAATTGTTTTTCCGTTACATTGGAGTATGACAGGTGAGGCTCTGCCTCCCCTGCCTCCACTGACTGCACGTCGCTGCTCAATGTTTTCTGAATAAAAATAACAAAGATGGATTTTCTGGCAGAACTCTTCAATAATAAATCAGTAAATTATTCAGTGTTTATTCAAGATCAATCTAACATGAAACACAATAGACCATATTTTGTCATGTAGTTCACTGATGATCTGTCATGCCAGAGTACAGACAGTCCTGCGGTAACTCATTGTTTTTCCATCTTTTGGCTTTTCTTGTGGGGAAATCCAGCGCTACATAGTTCAGTGCTGCTCCACCGCCCTGCAAAAGAAAATAAATAGGATTGTGAGCTTTAAAGGTCCCCTATTATACTGTTTTTCATCAATATATTATAGGTCTCAGATATATACAAAACATGTCTCTGAAGTGTTTGGCTCCAAATACCAAACAGATCATTGCAGCATCCCATAATCCCCTCTGTTTCAGCCCTGTTTCAAAAGTGCTGATTCTGTCTGTTACGCCCCTCTGAGAGATATTTGGTTAAAAAGAACACAATGGTGCTCTAGGAGGAGATTCAGGTGATAAGGTGGGGGGGGGGGGGGTCACCTTGGTTGGTTATTGGCTAATGGTTACACAAGCCAAAAAATCGTTATGACATCATAAAGTGGCCAAAATCTGATCAGCTCATTTTCAGACAGGTTTTTATATAAATGGATCAGAACAAAAAGAGAGAATCTTTTTTCCTGAAACTTTCAGAATCCCTTTACACAGAGGGGACACATGTTGATGTAGAAAAGACAGGAACAAGTGGGTTTTGCATAATAGGTCCCCTTTTAGAGCATTTAAACCACAACCAAGTGAATATCAAATTAAACATCAAAATGATATGTCAAATGTGCAGTTAACCCTTAGATGCATAAGTGGGTCTTCTTTGTAATTACATTTTTTTATCATTTCATATTCCAGCTATTCCTCAAAAAACATGTTTGGATATGCCATTCAAATTTTAAATTTAAATAGTATACATTTTAAGTAATTGTAGTTTTTGTATTACTACCCCAAGCTTTCATAAGTGGGTCAAAAATGACCCGCATGCATTTTCTATGGAATTTCGTTTTTTTCAAAATGTAAAAAAAATGTCTAATATTATAAATAGTGAAAAATTAAATATAAAATATTTCTAGTGTGAACCAAAATATAATACTAAATATTATACAAGTGATTTGTCTTAACCAAAATGACAAAAATGGCATAAAAACACATATTATTCTAATACGGAACCCACTTATGGAAGAGTGTAGGGTCCAGTCACTCGTGCATCTACTGTAAGGGTTAAGGACCCAAAGATTTCTGGGTCTTTTTCTAACCAAAATGTAACTGCAGTTACTGCAGTCATGCATAAGATGATATTTAAATGATCTTTACCACATTCATTGATTCATCCTCAGCCAATCTTTCATCAAGAGCATGGTTGGAAGATTCTCCTGTAAAAAAAAAGAAAAATTAAAGGCAAACAATGAAGCTATTGTTGTCATTTCACATCGAAGTTTGTGATCCAGGAATAATTACTTTACAGCTGGTCACAACCCCACATTGTAATCTTTACTGGCATTTCATTTACATTAGTGCACGTAGAAGAGCTGAAAGCTGAAGCTATTACTGTAGCAATACAGACGTTATGATAACCATTATCAAACCATTACAATTACTGCAAAACCTAGGTAAAAATATGCTGAACTGCTGAATCCTAACTTGGTTAATGTATCAAAGACTTTACACAAACTCCATGAATCTACCTTTGCAATGTTCACAAACTGACTTTTGATTTCTGAAGATTATAAGAACAGCAATCACAATCAAACAGCAGGCCAGCAGCGTCCCGAGCACAGGGACAAATAGGTCCAGTTGTTGTCCTGTAATGAGAAAAACAATTACAGAGAAAATTAACTATTAGCTCAAATGTAATTTAATTGCTTTTACATTAGTAAATAATTATAATTAATTATAGTTGTATAATCACTAAAAGCTCTGAATTTTGAGTGATGATCCACTACTGTACATATTTCGTGTGTCAGATAGGAGGGCTTGTTGGCCTTCCATAACAGTAAAAACTGAAAGGAAAACAAACCAATTGTTTCACAGCAGCAGTGACTTGTACTTTAAAAACGCTTTTTGTAGTATTGCTCTAATGTGCAATTTTAGAGCCATATATTATAAGCTGCACAAGTACATGAACAGCAAAAGAGGCCTTGATGTACAAAAGAGTACAGCAGGAAATGTATATGTATACATTTACTGGATACATTGCAGAGTGAACTTTGTATGGACATTCAAGGTTCCCAGAGTCCCGAATCCTAATTATTTGGGATACCTCCTGTCTTTCTCTAGCACCAACCATGTGGTTAAACTTTTTTGCTCTGAATGAAATATCATTGAAAACTGATGCAGACATTCAAGTCCTTCTCAGCTTGTAATCATTTGGGGGATTTGATGAATTCACATTAGTGCCACCATTAGGTTGAAATAATGAGAATCCCGATTGCTTACATGTCATTTTGTGTTTTTGCTAACAGGTTTGTTTTCAAATGCTTGAATTCCAAACCAAGATGGGTAAAATGATACTTCCCAAACATCAGCATGTTATCATGGCCACTGTGAGTATAATAGCCTTTAGCTCAAACCACCACTGTAACCACTAGAATGGCTGTAAATTCTTTGTCTTTCTATTAACTACATAATCCGTCACATCTCTAAAAGGATATCATTTGGACCTCCATGCAGGCCTGCTTTTACCAACCTTAAAGCTTCAATGACAAAAACATAACCCCTCACTGTCTTCCCACCCACAAAAATGTCTTTATGACATGCACTACCAGCAGAAATCAGTCACTGTTTTAGTGGGGAATTGCTTTTTTCTCTCACGGTCTGAGCAACCTCAATAGGTTTTTTGCCTATGCCATTATCTTGATGCCTGTTGGTAGAATATCTTCTGTGTTAGGTAGTATGTGACTAATATGACCTCAAATGCTGCTGCACTGGGTTAAATCAAGTCCAAATATATATATAACCTTAAAAGTCTCAATCACATTCCCCCTGTCAGTAAATCATGTTTCTGATAAAGCTTCCTTTTGAAATAGAGCATGCAATGTACAAAGAACAAGGATACAAGTTTCTCCTCACACCTAAAATCTCATCAGGTAGCGAACATTGTGCTTTGATGATAGCGCTCACTGTTTATGTGTCTGTTGATGGGCTTTACCACTTCAGAGCAGATCATCTTCTCATCTCAGGAACTAGATGAAAGACACTGCCTGCATGTGACATAACTACAGCCAGGCTGAAGAAACCGAGTTGAATCTGACTTTGCTCTTAAGATACAAATACAACACAATTTAACGTTTTATCTGATATTTTCAACAACCCTGTAATAATGAGACTAGCTGGATCAATAATAATGGAGGGATTTTTTTCTAATCCATGAAATGCTTACCTAGGCCTAGATTAATGTCATCCAGTTGTACCAACGCATTTCTGCTAGAGAGATATATTAGAAACCTTCCACAAGTGCTAAAAGTCAAACCAAATAGCAAAACAGTACATTTGAAAGATATTTACATTTACAACAAAAAATATATATAATAATAATAGTAATGTAATAGTACAAATGTAAAACTTACTACTGTAAAATTAGCTAATTTCATCCTGTTCTTCCTTGTTTGTAATAGTGTCTAAAATGTGACTTATTCATTGTTATTGCTCAAGATAGATAAGTGGCTTCCTATAGGTGCGTATAAGTACTGCAGAGAGAATCTATTTTTGGACAGGAAAATAGAGCTTCCGAAATAGTTTCTGAAATGCTAACAATAGATATATTATGTGTTATTTCTAAAAAACATAGTTTGGTTCTTTTAATTTCACTGCACTGAGGTGTTTGCATGTATGATAAACAACAAGCAAAGCCACATGCAGGAGCGGATCTGTGAGATGTAGGCTATGGCTGGCCATTTCTCTGCTTTGACAGACCGCAAAGCATGTTTACTCAGAATGCTCATGACTTTGGGCATCAACAGGATATGTCACTAGCGTACAAGAAGCCTCCGCAGGCTAAATTTAGCAAAAGCAGTTAATGTGATAGATGTTGGTTTTGCCTTCTTGGATGTGCACTCATTTAGTTCAATCAATGTCTAGTAAACAACACAACTCAATCCCATGCAAGCACAATTGTTGAGTGTTAATTACATCCTTTGTTATAAAATGATAAAGTTATGTTGTGGTTACTATTCAAAATAGATCAATTTGATTTCTGTTACTGTTCAAACGATGATATTCACTATCGTACTCGGTATCAGGTTTGCTCACCGCTAGTGGTGGGTGAAGGGCCCTAAAAAACTAATCTACAAACCAAACAAACCAGACATTAGGTTTGACTGACCTTGATGACCATGATGAATGTCACAAGTAAACGTGTGTGAGTTGCGTAGCCCAACATTTAATCCAGGTCATCATAAGAAACGTAAAATATCCCCCCTTTCATGACTAGATTTAGAGTCCAGTACTTCCCTGAGCGGAGATAGCTGTTTCCCCCTGTTTCCACTCATTGTGCTAAGCTAAGCTGCCAACTGTAGCTTCATATTAGCAGCACGCACCTGAGGCTGATATCAGTCTTTACGTTGAACTCTGCAAGAAATAAGTATATTTCTCTGGAAAAAACTTTTTTTTTTATGTCGACTGCAAGCTACAGGTGTGAACACAAAGATCAGTAGTGTGTGTGTGTGTGTGTGTGTGTGTGTGTGTGTGTGTGTGTGTGTGTGTGTGTGTGTGTGTGTGTGTGTGTGTGTGTGTGTGTGTGTGTGTGTGTGTGTGTGTGTGTGTGTGTGTGTGTGTGTGTGTGTGCGACAATGCTTTAACAGTGTTGACTCCTCTGAAACTAAAGACAAAGATAGCCTCTGTGGTTTCAAACCCATTCTGACCAAACTTTTCTCAAGTTTCCATCTATCATCTTGTCTTTTTTTTGTATGCGTGTAAGCATCAACCAAAGAATCTCTTGTAAATGTATTTTAACCGTGGCAAAAACTGTACTGATCAGTAAACAATAGATATATGATTCTGTAATATATGGTAAATTCCTTTCTTTCTTTTTAACATCCATTACAGAGAGACAGGAAGTCCAAGAGTGTGGATGTGATGCTTTAAGTATCAGCCAAGCTTGTGTCACGTTTCTACGCCCATTCATTTCTTTAAAGTTGTTTATTTTTTAACTAAACAATATTAATATTTTGTTTAAGTATAAGTGTCCTTAGCAATTTACTTATCAACAGGAGCTAATGTTGTTTAAACGTTAACGACAAATTAGTCATAGAGGCTGTTTGAGGGGGAGGGGGCCTACATTCATACAAAGCAATTTTTGTGAATAATACAATTAATATATGACTGGAGTAATAACTTCTGTGGAAGCTGCAGCTAGTACATCTATCTAAAATGAACTTGGTATCACATTTGCTGAAACGATCACTATATCCTGAAAGTCATGCATGAGATAGATCATCTGATGAATATAATTATGTTCCTCTGCCTCCCCCCAGTGCTTCTAGAGGCATTTGCAAGGTAGCAGCACCAGAATGAAAACAACATTTGCATCATTTATTCTTGACAGAGTGGTAGGCGGAAACCTTTGAGCTAGATAGAGAAAGTGACAGTGTTAACCTCCAGAGTTTAAGTGTTTGATGGGAACATTTGCATTTGCATTGATAAGAGGTTACATTCAAATCAAAGTCAAATTAAATCCATATTGATTGTGAAGAAATATTTGAAGTAAAGTAAAATATTCTTGGGTGAAAGTACATTTTGTTTAACTCTAACTAAATGTTTTTGTGTTTTCCTTTCATGTTTCAAGAACCGGCTTACGGTCTTTTGGTGATTTACAGACTGACGATGTATTTCTGCTTCTGCCGTCTGTGGTCTCGGCCATTAGTGTGATTGTTATAGCCATCCTTATTCACGCCATCAAGGAAAAACAAGTGTGATTATTGCCATGACAAGGGTAAGTATAGTCCCTCTCTATATCTCTTATTAGCTGATGCTAATATCAGTATTTATAAAAACTAGGTTATCGTTATCGATTTCTAAATTCCTTTTGTTCATATTGTAGCTGCCGTGTCCCTGCAAGAAAATGTTGCAAAAATAAATGTAAAGGTAAGTTCACTATTGCAAAAAACGTATCATGCATTTTGATCAGTTTTGACCAAGTTCGTTCTTGTCTGTATTACATTTCCTCAGAGAAATGAAGACCCATGGATGTATTCTACTGTCGTCTTTACCGTCATGGAAACCAGCATTGGTGTAACTAGGGAGGGAAGAGCAGCAAAGAGAGGATCTACGCTGCTGCCAAAGCTTTTGGAACGGATTAGCTTGTTAGAAGTGGACTCCGCTAGGGCTGACACATATTTGTTTTGCTCACAGATCGGACAGCAAGCGGATAATGAGATTTATCCTGAATTTGACAATTGTATTGCATTAAATAAGCAGACTGCAGCTTGCCTGTTTGAGTTTTAAAGCTAAAAGCTGTTATACTATGTGTGATTTAGATTGCATTGAGCCTATGATGTTTATCTGGAATATTCTTTTGTTCATATGCTTACATGTAAAAATACTTGATTAAAATAAAAGGACATTTTTTTCCATTTGTGTTTGTTGGATTTCACATTGTGTGAAATAGTGATACAAACAGATATTAGCGAAGGCCTGTTTTGCATCTAGGCCGCAGGTACACTGCTTCTTCACCATCATGCACCCCTTGGTTTTTATCAACAATTCCATTCCCTAAAAAACCTACTCAAACATGAACATTTCCCACATAAAAATTCCACCAAATGTGGTAAGAAATACTAAATATGATTTGAATGCAAGTGTGTCAATTGTCTCTCCAGAAAATAGTTTAATTGTTTTCTTCATTGACAGTGAAAGGCAGAATAATGCTTCTAGTTCAAAGGAAGGATGACGGGAAATGTTACTGCAGTCATAATTAAATTATTGCTCTGTTTAATCATTATACAGGAAGCCTCTTTACGTTTGACAACTTACATTTTGGGTGGTTGTTGTGAGAATGATTAATAATTTAAAGGTCCCATGTCATGGCCATTTCTACTGATCATAATTCCATTGTTGATGTATACTAAAATACATGTATATTGTGCAATTTTCCAAACTCACATTGGTTTCTCATACAGCATCTCTGTATAGTGTGTATTCACTCTCTGTCCTAAACGGCTTGTTGGAGCATCAGTGATTATGTGTTACAATGGCGTTAGCAACCAGAAATGACACCAGTAATGACAAACAGATGAGAATGCTGCATGGGGTCTGGGTGCCGTGTTGGCGGGACGTTGCGGGGCTCGCTGCTGGAGCGGACAGTGTGAGCTGGGTTACTGGTGTCGTTTCCAGGTTGCTGCGGGGGATCTGCGAGACAGCGAGACACAGCGAAACCCAGCCTGAACCCAGCCCGGCAAGCACACACACACACACCTGCAGCCTGGCTGTGAGTCTGCGTGTGTGCTCAGAACGAGCCCGAGCCCCGCCGCGTTTCGCCGTCTCAGGCTGAGTTCAGGCTGAGAAATCTGCGGAGCTGCAGCTGAGAAAAGATTGAGTGTGTGTGTGTGTGAGGAAGTTACGTTACGTCACTATACCCAATACGTCACTGTACTTACTACACTATAAGAAGAAAACAATGGAAAAAGAAAACTCTCCAACGAGGCGTTCTGGTGCAGCATAGACAGATCTTTTGTGTGTTAGAGTTTTACTCGCTACAGGGTGTACTTTGAGGGTTTGTGACTCTGCAGACCGTTTACATGCATAAAAAGCTACATAACACACAAGGGGACGGGTAATAACCGGAAAAGCATGACATGGGACCTTTAAGCAAGCCATGTTGGTGCATGAAACACACCTGGTCTCCTGTATGAACACCAAACACCAGGGGGCACTGAAAGGTGAAAAGCCGTAGATTTTGATTTATTTTAAGCATTAAACGTTAGCTAGAGGAATCTAATAAAATAACAGCAAATGTATTTATTCAGCTTATTCATTTATATGTGCAGAATATAACCACATTTCCATACACTAATATGTTTTTAATGCAGATGATATAGTTCATGCACAGTTCAACCCCCAAAGGATAGACAGCAGCTTTTCTTTTAGTTCCGTTTTATATATCTAAGATATCATAGCCAGCTTTTTTTGTCAAGGAATCACATCAGCAAACACAGGTATTGTTAAATTAATACTAACTAAAACAGTATTCAACACAGCCCTATTCTACACTGCTGTCATACTGTGAACGACAACACATTAACAAACAACCTGCCTAGCTGGTATTAAACATGATCAAATATTTACTTTTCTTCTCTGCTTCTTAGTCGCGGCATATAGAGGACACTGGCTGTTTTCTCACGTCTGAAAGAAAAGCTGCCTGGAGCATTTTTAAACATGAGGTTCAGCTTTCCTCTTGCTGTTGTGTTGTTTATTTTAGTTCCTCTTGTAACTTTGATTTCTTTATAAGATGTGTTCAAAATGATATTTAGAACAGTGTTTAATGATTTAATGGAGATATATATGAACCCGGCCTCACAAGAAAAAAATACCCTTTACCTCTGATTTACCTCTGCTGGGTCCCATTTATTAAGGGGACACATTTTTATTATTTGCAGCCACATACAACAATGGAACAAAATGCATTTTTTTGTATTCAATCAACAGGGTATACATGTAAGCATTAAAAGAAGATACAAAGTAAATCAATATATACTTGATATGCAAAACACAAGCTAATTACAACATGCTATAAAACTTGCGCTTCAACTACATTAATACAATACTCTGTCAAATATCAGCTAATATCTCCTTACGGTGCTCTAGATGTCCGCTCTATGTGTGTGCTGAGAAATAATCTGGTATACTGCCCTGGGCTAGCCCAGCGCCATATAGATAGAAGAGTTACGACAGCGGAAGTCCAAAATGCTTGATCGTCACGTGGTTCAGGGAGAGACAATAGTTCCCCGGAAGTTCGTGGCGGGACATATGAATGCATGATTACCGGAGATAGAACTACGATTTTTGGTAATAAGCAGTGAATAAAGGTCTTGATTTGCAATATTTATACAACATACCGATATGTGTATGTATTTACATCAATATGTTTTAAAAAATAAATAGAATCTGCTAATATTTATGGATAATATTAGGAATAGTGTGAACAGCTAGTTTACTTGTTAACATATACATGTTAGGCTGTTGCCTTGGTTAAAGAGCCTGTTGCTGTTGTGTATTGCTTTGAATTATTTAAAACAAATATTATCTTCTTAAACAGGTATGGTAGTCAGGAGCAGGGGCGGACTGGGACTAAAATTCAGCCCTGGAATCTGACCCAGTCCGGCCACATGTCATGTCAACGGGGGGGGGGGGGCGGAGATCAGATAAAATAATACAGTACTATTAGTTATTGGAAATCAGCTGTTTATTATGCGGTTCAAGGGATAAATTCTCCCCTAAAGAGAAGAGGGAGGACACTCCTCAGATGTCTTAACACATGGGACATCATAAAGCAGTACACACACCAAAATCAGATGTTTATTAGGCTGCAGTTTAAGGGATAATTGTCACCTAAAACAAATAAACAAGATTGTCTGAGGCGGTTTGTAAACCTAATATTGGGGGATCAGCAGTTTCTTTAGTAGGTTGCTTTTTTCTGCAACTCTGTCGATGACCAAGTCATTGTCGAGGGACATGAGGATGTCTTTTTCTGTTGACATAAGCATGAATGCTTCCAGGTGTTCTTGTGACTGTGTGCTCCTTATTCGGCTTTTGATGTGCTTGAGTACAGAGAAACTTCTCTCACAAGCTACCTGTGTCACAGGCAGAGTGAGAAGAAACTTGTATCCTAAACCAAGGAGCTGATAGGCTTCTGTGAAGAGGTTGTAGCGTTTCAGAAGTTGGTAGCAACATATTGAGCATTCTTTACAAGAGTTGCACTGTTTGTTTAAAACCTCTGTCTCTTCTTCCTCACAACCAGAGCAAATTCTTACTCTGTACTCTTCAAGTACAGACATTTGAAGCCGTGGCCACTGGGCTGCCAGACACTTCAACTCAGACTGCAAATTTGCAGCAGTTGCCCTGCTGTCAAATTTAAGCAAGCATTTGCTTAGATCTTGAAAAGTCGAGTCAGGCAGAGCTTCTGCTGAACACACTTGGGGAAAGTTTCTTGGATCAAGGACAGCCAAGTCAGCATACAGAGTGCCGTGGGTCATGAAGCGTCGTTTGATACTGTCTGTGACAGTATCCAGTGCCTGGTTATAGACCTCTACTTCATAGGCCCTGTTTGCATCTGTCAATCTCTCATCACTTGCCATTTCGCCAGCCATCATCTTCCTTTTCCTGTTCCTCTTCAGTGGAAGGGTTGTTTCCAACTCAAGCTCACAGTCCTCTTCTGCCTCCAGTTTTGCATTTGCCCACTCAACAAAAGTATCAGCAGCTGTCTTCACTGTCATGAAATCTCTTGTCATGTTCATCAGTGCATGTTGAGTGTCCAGAACCATCCTGTGGGCAGACAGGATATCTAGTCCACATGTCTGCAAGTATTTTGAAAGAGGTGTTGTCACTTCAAAAATCCGAAGGAAAAGCTGGGCAGTCAACACCGTCTCGTACCTCAGGAGCGCCTCTAAGAATCCTCTTGCTCTGACACGCACTGCAGTTTTCAAATTGGCCTGACTTTGAAATTCACTTAGTGTCATGACGACATCAATGTACAGAGCCTGGTCTGGCTTTCCAAATGAGCCAAAGATCTTCTTCAAGGCTACATCTTTAGCCCACCACCGTGTCTCTCCAATTGGGGAGAGGCGTCTGTGTCGAGTGTCCTGGCTTTTATGCTCCCACACATTCATTCTTTTATATGACTCACGAATGAACACAGCAATGTCATTCATGAGGGAGAAAAGGGACCCACTAGCTATGGACACTTCAGTTGTATCAGACAGAACGAGGTTTAGCACATGTGCATAGCACCAAACATGTACATGGTTTGGGACTTTGGATGACAGGAGTGCGGAGAAGCCTCGATATTGACCCTGCATGTTGGACGCACCATCTGTAGCATTACTGATGCAGTTGCTGATATCCAAATCAAAACGATCCATTACATCTGTCAGCATCTGGACAAAATATTGGCCAGTGGATGCTTCACATTTGACCACTGCCAGAAGCCTTTCCTGGACAGTGTCTGTGACGTATCTCAGAATCACAGAACACTGCTCATGGGACGTAATGTCCTGGGTTGTATCTATTTGTACAGAAAACATACCGCTTTCAGCAACCTCTTTTGCAATGGTCTCCTGAATTAGCCTCTGCACTGTGGAAAGGACGTTGTTTACAGTTGTTTTGGACAAGAATGTTACAGCAGAACCCCGACCTCTAGCCTGTGAGTGTGACTGGTGCATCTTCTTACTTTTTTCTGTGCACTCAGTGAGATGTTCTTTCAGACACACATCATATTTTCCAAGAAGAATGATGAGCTCTAGAAAATTCCCATGGTCAATGTTGTCATCATCTAGAGCAGGGGTGGGCATTTTACGGCCCGCGGGCCATATCCGGCCCGTTGGCCGGCCTTGGCCGGCCCG